GTTGGATGACTAAACTGTAAAACAAACAAACAAATTATCTTGCACAACTCACCATAATTTTCTTTTAGTACACCAAACTGCTCCAGATCACATTAGCTAAGCAGAGAAGGCACTGACAAATCTCATAAATAAGTCTTAAGATAAATAGATGTATTGGGGTAGACATTGCTCTATGACAAGAATGATTAATTGTAGGTTCTGGATGATCTTCTGCACCCAGAAAACAGTACAGAGGGGGAAAAAGTATAAATGGCTGAAAATGTAATTCTAGAGCCAGAGACAATTACATGCCTATCAAAATCAAGTAAAAAAGGAATTCCTTAATTTTTTGGACAGAAATGTTCTCTCTTTTTATTGTAATGATGGCAACACAAGTACATACATTTGCCAAAAATCCTAAAACCGCACATTTGAAATGAGAGCATTTTATCTTACGTAAATTGTACCTCGATAAAGTTGATTTTAAAAATTTCCTCTTGCCAAAAACATTTTCAGCTGTTTTCCCACACATGCTTGTCATTTTATCATGACTTTCCCCCCATTTTATTCTTTATCACTGTCTCATGTTTATTTACTTACTTTTTAAAAAGAAAACAGAGTATGACCAGTTTACACGTGCCAACTTCTGATGTACAGCATAGGAATCCCCTTAATTTTGGAATTGGTGATGTCAAAGTTGCCACTCTCCCCAGAGACCACAGTGGTCACCATCATCATCTAGGTTATCAATCCTAGCAGCTATCCCACTTCTTTTTGAAAATAAGTAATTATGCAATATAATTAACATTACTTCTTTTGGTAAGGTTAGAAAGACTTTTCTCAGCTTACTGATGGAATCACAGAATTCATTTTTTAAAAATTTGACAAATGGCTTCAATATTCAAGATATAATGTAAAGGTAAGCCTCCCAGGGTCAATCAGCCAAATATGGCTCTGATTCTTGCCATTACCAAAATGCAATATTTAGGAAGGCCATCTAGGCTTACTTACCCGGATGATGGTAGAGATGGTAAGCCGGCATTTACTCAGCCCCGCCCTGCTCAGCCTCGGGAGCGGACGAATTCTCAGCTGGTGGATCGGCTGCTTTTGTCTCTTTGCCATCTTGTGGTTTAGGGTTTTCTGGGCGTCTGCGTCGGTAATTGAAGTTGCGGCGGTACCGACGTTGAGGTGGCTGCTGACCCTGGGTCTCATCTCCTTGATTTTCCTTATCTTCTTCATTGCCATCCTCTCTGGGCTGTCTTTGGCGAGGAGGGCCCCTGGAATGAACGTTGTGCAAACTTACAATAAAATCTTTAATCCACCCACCAGTGTTAACATATCTGTCCTGTTTATTAAGTGGCCTGCAGGCAATTCAGCGAAGTCAAGAGAGCAAACTTGATTTTCATTTCACCAACTGAGTGCGACAGGATTTAGATGTGTAAACTGGGAGACGAACATTTAAAACTGGTTTCCAAAGTCCAGCAAACTTTTACTCATAGCATAATTTATTCCAAAGTTTTACCCATAGCATAATTTATTCCAAAGTTAACCATGAAAGGACTAAAAGTGGCACAACACTTTGGTGTCATTTTAAAACATTTAAAAAATGGGCCTTACATTAGCCAAGTTTAGGAACAAGTGCTACTAACCTTTACAGGTGAACACCTGCTTTAAAAAGGCAGGAAATCAAAACCAAAGATACCCTCTTCATATAAATGAAAAGTACACAGCACCATCAGTCACTGGGAAAGGCAAGATAAAAAAAAACCCCACAAGATACCACTTCATACCCACTAGGACAGTCATAATTAAAAGGTTGGAAAATAACTACAGCGGGGAAATGTGGAAAAACTGTAACCCTCAATACATTGCTGGTGGGAATATGAAATAGCGCAACAGCTTTAGAAAACAATTTGGCAACAAATGTTAAAGAGTTACTGTATGACCCGGCAGTTCTATTCCTGGGTCTTTTTCCAAAAGAATATCCATTATGTGCATTAACATTCACAACAAAAAAGTAAAAACAATCCAAATGCCCATCAATTAATGAAGAAAAAAATCTGATATCCATACAATGGAACCTGATTTGGCCACGAAAATAAATCAAGTACTGACACATGCTGCAACATGGATGACCTTAAAATACGCAAATTGAGAACCAGGCACAAAAAGCCATACTATGTTCCCATTGATATGAAATGCCTAAAACAGGCAAATTCAGAAACAGGGAAAACAGATTAGTGGTAGCCAGGGACGGGGTGGGTGGGGAATGGAGAAGTGACTGCTAATGAATACAGATTGTATGGGGGGGGGCGGGAATTCAAAATGTCTGGAATTAGACAGTGGTAATGGTTGCACAATTTTGTGAATATACTAAAAACTTAAGTGTTACATTCCAGCAGTATCTTCAATGGCTTGAAATTAAAGATATTGGAATCCAAAGTATCACGACTTTCATTAAACTTTTGCTTGTGATTTATGTCAGAATCGTGAGGTTTCTCAGCTTCTCTATCTATAGTCACAGCATCCCAGAAATAGCTAAACTATTATCATGCCATTTACACCTACTGATCATCATAAAGTCTAATTTCCTTTTTAGATCTGTATATTCCATTTTTCACCTCTAACCTCTCCAATCTCCCATCTATCCCTCCCAACTCCCCTCCCCTTCCTCATAATCTGACTTTGGCAAAACTGCTCTAGCTCTTTCCCTACAACCTTCAACTGGTAGCTATCCCACCCCATCACTGTGGCTTCTCCCTGTTTCTTTCTAAAACCCCAAGCTTTAAAACCTTATGTTAGGTCATGTTCCACTTACGATCCTTTTCCTGTTGTTATTATGACAGTCCCAAATAACCTGGGCTTTTTAAGATTCTTTACACCTCCCATCTAGTTCTTGTTTGACGTGGGTTTTCTCAACTTCAAGCATGTCCCTCTCAAGCAAGTCTCTCTTCCTTGTCTTCCTGGTTTATTCCAGGAGTCCTGTTCTCCCATTCTTTATTTCCACTAGGACCCATAATCCAATGATCCTATCAACCTATTCTGTCCCTCACTCTTCCTTAATCCTTTTGTCCCCTCTTTCCCCAAGTTAAGTCTGCCATTAATCATTACAACCAATGACAACTCAAGTGTCTTCAGTTGGGTAGCCAAATGCTGAACAAATTCAGTTCTGCCTAATCTGAGCCTGCTTGCTCAAAATTGCTGGGAAAATATAAGCATGCTATGCTAGGCAGACCCATTTTAAAGTTGTGATCACTACTCTATTTGATTTGCCCTATTTCTCTTCTAGAAATTTCATTACCTTCATCCTAAACTCCCTGAATCTCTTACCCCTCTCCTTTGACCTCATTAACACATTGGTTCCTTTATATATTCCTCTGGCTTCTTACACATGAAATGCCCATGGTTTCTAGCAAAAGGTCAACTCACTACTTGTGGACCAAATCCTATCCTTATTGAAGACAGTTCTAGCAGTTACTTTCCTGACTGTCCTCTTTTACTGCATTTACCAGCCTACAAATATGCTCTTATTTCTCAAACAAAAATCCTTTCTTGATGACACTTTTCCCTTAACTGCCATCTCTCTCCTTTTCAACAAAACCCCTGCTATACTGCTCTGACATTTCTTGACAATTTGTTCTTGGGCCTACACCAATCGGAATTTCACCCCATGGATCATAGGTAGTATGTCCCATTTACTACTCATCTGAACAAAAAATTTCTAGCTAAATAGTTTGGAAAGCCCTACATTTGTTTACAGAATCATTATAATCTTTAAGGCAGACACATACATACATATGTATGCATATATGCTACCACAGCGATCATCAGGCACTCCTGAATTCATCTATTAATTCAAAAGAGAGCAGTAAGTCTTAGACCAAAAGGCAAATGGTAAAATGGAAGCATTAAACAACAAAAATTCATGTGCTGTTTTTAAGGACACCAGTGCAACTAGGCAGAAGTTTTAAGCAGCTCTACATCTAACAAAAAGTAAGCCAAGAATTCTGCCCTTAGAACTTAAATGGACAGACTGCCATGAGTCTATTTTAAAGCAACTCTAAAAACATTTATCACTGTTTAAAAACTGATATTGTGACAGTTTGCATTATTTCAACAAAGTATCTACGTCTAGGTTTAAAACAGTATACTATCCATTAGTTTTAGGGATCACATCTGGAGACTCAATGCTCTAAAGACCCTGCTACACCAGTCTGTCCTACCATCGTGGGACTGGGAACACTACCTGAGTCAGCATACTACATGTATGCACTAAACATGTCTGACTCATGGAGCTCTTCCCCAACTACTCTATACTGTAACAATTAAGTGTGTTCTGTTAAAAAGGATTCTCTAACCCAAGTAGGTAGGTCAGTTGTTTAATTTTAGTAATACCAGTCTGTAACTGCGTTTCTTTTCCCTAAAATGTAAATTCCTAGTGGAATGATTTCATTTTGCAAGTTTGAGGTGACACACAAAACACCTAAAATTAAGAAGCGATTAATGGAAAATTAGGCCATCTCAGAGGTAAACTGCTGATTCTTCATTTATGATATGGTACAGTTCAGACGCTTCTAATGCTTACCTTTACTCTTTATCCCACCCAACGAACCAGGTCTTAAAAGTTATAATATAATGCAGTTTAAACTATTTGCTTACCTGTTCAAGGACAGAAAATTTGAAATTCTATACCCTTATTAGAGAACAACAAAACTAGCTGTACAGAGTAGACCTCATCTATAAAGCTGTTTTTAACCAGTGCCAGAAAAGAAGATGCAAAGAATACATTCTCAAAGACAACTAACTTCACGTTTACCTCTTATGCATTTGATGAAACAAAGTGAAATGTTAACAGATAAATGACTCAGAAAGAAGCAGCATAATGCTGCTGCTAAGTCCTAACACATGCTTGAGAAATTTTTAAATACAAACCATACCTGCGGAATCGTGGTCTATAACCCCGATACATATTCTGCCTCACTGGTCTACCTTGTTCTCCCGCACCCTGGTTGTCAGCACCCTGGGAAAACAATGGAAATCAAGTCAACTTGATCAGTAAGATTAGAGTAAAAACCCAACTAGACAAAACACTAAATACAGTCGTTAAAAATAAATAAAACTACCCAGCAACTGTGATTATACTATGAATTATTAATCTTTTTGGTTCTTATTAGGAATCTGAAAGCATTTCCCAGTATGACTAACAGCTATTATAGGGGGAAATATCCAGAAAATGCTTCAAATGCAGTCCTATCAAAAATTATCCAACACTTCTACTGATCCTTTACCTTTTGGTAAAGCTTACCTCCATCACTTCTCCCTGCACAGGAGGGTTGGAATACTGTGGTCGACGCCCATAGGGCCTCCGCATGTAGTAAGGTGGGAACCTCCGCCTGCGGTAGGGCCGGCGCTGCTGGGCCTGGCCTTCGGGAGCGCTCTCCGATCCCTCATTCTTTTCCCCACTCTCACTATTCTGGTAGTTCTGCTGGTAATTGCGTGGAGGACCCCTGCGACGTGGATAGCGTCTATAATGGTTACGGTCTGCTGCGTATTTACTGCCTTGCACTGGAACTCCACCAGGGCCTGTAACATTTGCTGCCTCCGCACCCTACAAAAGCCATCATACATTTATAGTGACAACAAAATTAAGCACACAACAAAATTTACACAAAGCAAATAAAAAAGGGTCTACGTGGTCAGGGGTGCATAGAAATGATTAAACATTATTAGTTCCTAACTGTTCTGAAGAGATAGCCCTCTAACTGCAGCCAGCACGTTAGGCTTGATGCACCTGTGTTCATGTGGTCACCTGACCCAATCCATACACATTAGAGCCACCATCCTAATGGATGAGATCTCCAAAATATTTCCATACTAAAGTCAAACCTTTACACAAAAAGCATCCTCACCTTTTCTCCTTCAACAACATCAAACTCCACAGTCTCTCCATCTCCTACACTGCGAAGGTACTTCCTGGGGTTATTCTTCTTTATGGCAGTCTAGTAATATCACATTCCAAAAACAGATTAACAGGGGAGAATAATGTGCTTTTTTCATTTAAAATGTACCAGAGTCAACATTATTTTAGCTTGGATATACACTTAAAATTAGCTTTAAGACCAAACCGTCAATAACAGGGACCAATGCTACCCCCAACCTCAACCAAAATACTCCAATCTTACAAGGCCCCAGCATTTTACCACCATTTTCCAAACTAAAACAAGTAATTTAACACTCAAGATAGACACAACTATATATATATATATATTTTAAAATGCTCTTTGCAAAAGCATTATATGTAGCTTTGAACAAAATGAGGATATCCATCTATCCCCAAAGACTGCACTTAATAGTAGAAGCTAGCCCCACACAGGGCCAGTTTAGATGACAGGCGAGTTTAGTTTTGCATGCTTCAAAGCTGACCAAACCAACTTTGTCCCTGTATTACTATATCAAACTCAAATTACAAATGTCAACCAAAATCCCTTCCAACCTGTCTGTGGTTATATTTCAATGGAAATGCAATTCACATGTATTAACTATGCCACTTCTTATATTCTGACTGCCTGGGACAATTGGTTATTACCTCCCCAGAATACAGTGTATCTCACACATTGTTACTTGTTCTACAGACTGCTACAACAAATAAAAGGGGAAGAGTAACACCTCAGTGTTCATAATACTTCCACAGTATTTTCACACATTACCCATTCAATCTCATTATGACAGATGATGTGAAGTATTATTATTTCTCTTTTACAGATAATAAAACAGGCTTTAAAAAGTTAGTTGACTTGCCCAAGGTCACAGAGCTAATAAGTGGCAGTGTAGACTTTTCTAAATCCAGGTCTTGGGACTCCAAATCCCATGTTCATTCTACTACATCACAGCAGTATCTATTACAGGATCACTCATGCATTTCCATTCCAGAGGAGGCAGGACAACCAACAAATCTGAAGCCAATTAAGCTAAGTTGCCCAGAACTGCAGTCTCCTTGATAAACCACCAAGACCTGAGCAGCCAAAGTTCTAAGAAACAACTGAATGTTGAAACCACTTCCAAAATAAAGAGGAAAGCATATTGGTGACACTTTGTGGGTTGGAAAAAATGGGTGACAGGTATTCAGCCAAATAATTGATCTCATCTGTCATCTAAACTGTCACAAAGTTTTCATACCTTTCATATAACTCTCAATTACCTGCAGTCAAAAGGGATAGCAGAAGTATGGGTAATTAAAACCCCCAAACTCTCATTTTGGTCAGCATCTTCAGTGCCCTCCCCAATCTCCCCAAACCCTTTAGTGTTGCTGACAAGCAGCGAGTCTGGCAAGCCTTGTGGTCTCTTGTTCCTAAGTCTGCAAATTCCTTTGAACGTGCAGAAAGGAAGCAAGGAACAGGTTAAGCACTGGTATTCAATTTTACAAAACAAACACTCATTTTAATATAACATTTTGCCCAAGTAGTCCTGTATTTATGTTTAGAATTTAAGTGTTTCCATACTTATATCTGACCCTGTTGTCATTGCTGGACAGGGTTTTGGACATACTTAGAAACTGATTTGGCTTCCCCCTTGATTGCCATTGAATGCTGTATAGGACACTTCCAAGAGCTACAAAGCACCAAGCTAAGACATCCCTTCCTAGAAGTGCGCTGTCAGCCAAGCTCACACTTGCCTGAATAAAGATGTGAACACGGAAACTGCTTTTGTCTTTTGATGTCTACATTACAGTATTAAAAAGTGGCTGAAAAGTTCTTAGATTTTCAATACAAGCTGACAATATTTCAAGGCTTAGTGAAAAAACTGCAGAGCACTTAAGTACACATATATAAACATGTTTCCCATCCATTGCAAACCTGTGAGGAAAAATTAAGTCCAACAGAGCCTATGACATACTTAAGGTTGAGATATTAGCATTCATTTGGCAGCCGCTTACTTTAACAATAAATTCTTTAATGTTCAAACATTTTCCAAAATATTTTCCTTAAGTTGCACTTGACAAAGTTCAGCCATGTAGCACCTATCCTCGGTTAGTTTTTTCCTCTCAAAACACTGAAGCCAATCTAAAAATTATTTAATAAGTAATTACCAACTTCGACACATTGCCTTTTTCACTTAAACTTAAACTAGAGAGGATTTCTAAATTTCACAAGCTGGTCAGCTTTCTCCAAAGATAAAAACATATCTTACTCATTCAAGGTGCTTTAGAATAAACAAACAGAAGGGCCTGTATTATCTTTGTCAGTTTTCTAGCATTCATTTTCAAATCAATGTTTTGCAGCCTTGTCCTATTTCCTCATGATTATTATGATTTGTCCTTACCACAGAGGTAAACCTAATAGCATTTCAAAACATCTTGTCAAAGTTTCTGTGTATTTACAGCAACATTATTAGTTCAGGTTTAGATGGAGATTCTCAGTTCACTTGAAATTAGGTTTGAAAACCTAGTGTAATAAGTAGATTCAACATTTTATAAAGCTACGCTATTAACAAAATACCAATCTGAAACACCGATTTTAATTAAGTGAACTGACAACACAATGTTTCAGTGTAGACATTTAAGCTGTGCTACCACTCTTCCTGTGAGAACTAAACTGTTGGTTGGTTGGACTTAATAACCTTTCTGCAAGGAACAACAGCTGAGAAGACATTCACCCTTTTCTTCTCAAGCCTTGAGCCAGAAGTGTAAACACCCACACAAGCACTCACCTGGTGTACAAATACATCTTCCTTGGTGTCATTCCTGCAAGACAGAACCAAGTTGAAGAAGTCAGGAAATGGAACATTTATTTCATGCTGCCAAAGATTAAGAATATGCTTCATCCTTTGTGCATTTCCCCCTCATTTTTGGAGACTTTCTGACTGCCAACCAGCCATGAGGAGGAAATTAAGAAATGAAAACAAAAACAAAACCAGTAAGCCACCATGATTTGTGCTTTGAAGACTAAGCAGTTGCTAACAACTGCCTCACCACGTACCTGCAGAAGGATAAAAAAAGTCTAAGAAATCAAAGCTTAATCTACTAAGCTATTAAAAGGATAGAAATGACTAGCAACATATATTCTGTCACTCCTCATCCTACTACTACACATACATAACAAGGTTTCAGCAAAACCCATTCGTAATTACCTCTAGAGCATGCTCACCAACTTAAGTAGAAACAACATATTACATTAACTACTAGTCTTCTTTCTTTGTCACTTCAACCTCAATCATTTCCTCTTCACCATTTCCAATCCCCAACTTTCCTTGAGGATCACAAGAAAGAGCACTAAAAACCCCTACAGTATGTACACCACCAGGAGTGAGCCCTAAATGTAAACTATGGACTTTGGAGTGATCATGATGTGTCACTGGAGATTTATCAGTTGTAATAAATGTATCATTTTTGTGCAGTACAGTAAGTCATGGGTGCAATGTGCAGGCCAGCGGGTAAACTGAACATTTTCTACTCAATCTTAGGTTCATTTGCCATGAACCTAAAACTGCCCTTAAAAATTGATTATAAAAAAAAATTCCAACATACATAAATAGCTCATAAAACTCAACATCAAAACAACCCAAACAACCTGATTAAAAAATGGGCAGAAGTACTGAATAAACATTTTCCCAAACAGGAAATGCAGATGGCCAACAGGCATATGAGATGATACTTAAAAGAACAAAAAAAGTTACTCAACATTACTAATTACCAGGGAAATGCAAATCAAAACCACAATGAGCTATCACCACACACTTGTCACCAAAAGGAACACAAATAATAAATGTTGGAGATGATGTGGAGAAAAGGGAACCCTTGTACACTGTTAGTGGGAATATAAACTGGTACAGCCACTGTGGAAAGCAGTATGGAGGTTTCTCAAAAAGCTAAAAATAGAACTACCATATGACCCAGCAATTCCACTTGTGGGTGTACATCAGGGGAAAAAAAACACTGATTCAAAAAGATACATACACCCCAATATTCATAGCAGCATTATTTACAACCATCAAGATATGAAAGCAACCTAAGTGTCCATCAACAGATGAATGGATAAAGATGAGGAGTGTATATAGTACATATACATACAATGGAATGTTACCGAACCACAAAAAAGAATGAAATTTTGCCCTGTGAGGCAACATGGATGAACCTGGAGTGTGATATGCTAAGTGAATTAAGTCAGACAGAGAAAGACAAATACTGTATATCACTTATATGTATAATCCAAAAAGTACAACAACTTAGTGAATATAACCAAAAAGAAACAGACTCACAGATAAAGAGAACTAGCGGCTACCAGTGGGGGGAAGGGCAATATAGAGATGGGAGAGTGGGAGGTACCAACTACTGGGTGTAAGATAGGCTCAGGATGTATTGCACAGTATGGGGAATACAGCCAATATTGCATAATAACTATAAATGTAAAGTAACCTTTATAAATTGTATTAAAAAAAAGACAAGATCCAATTAAGTACAAATATGAACACCACCAATATCAACAACATCCACAGGGCAAGCATTAAGGAGGTGAAGACTGAAACTTTCTACTAGCACACAATCTCCTTTCATTTCATCTAAGATACCATTTCACGTCAATCATTAGTCTGTTGCTGAACAAACAGGGCTGAAATACTTGCTTCAGGATTTTAAAAGCAGTTGTTAAAGAAGGCATTTGCCCTAAGTCTTAAAGAAGTTTACTGAAAAATGGGAAAGATGTTCTAAGTAAGAGAGGTCATGGACACGGGTAAAATCAGCAACCAGCAAATTCAACGCAAGCCGAGTTCAGACTGGCTGGAGAATATAGCTGTGGCTGTGTGGGAGGATGAATATAGGTTAAACCATCATGTAGGCAGAGAAGTCAGCAAAGGCTTTTAAGTAGAGGGCATGTGACATGATAAATTATTATATGTTTAAAAGTGGCTGGTATTATGGAAAGTTTGAAGCCAAGAGGAGCCCAGTTAGTTATAAAAGCTTTCATGAACAGACCAGGACTGATGGAGGCCTGGACTAAGGGGCTGAGTATTAGAGAAGGTATCTGAGATATCTTTCTTGTGTTAATATGGAAAAAACTTTGTGGATAAATGGATGTTAGAAGTGAGGGGGCAGTGAAGAATGATTCGAGCTTTTAGCTTGGAGATTGGGGTTAAGGTGATGATACTATGAACAAAAAGAACCACTGGAGGACAGATTTCTAGACCTTTAGTGACTTAGCCCCACCCTATATTCATTCTGTCAGTAGGTCAGAGTTGAGAAAGGGCTCAGTAGTTCTAGTGTTTAATGACAATAAGAACAAAGGTTACAATGAACTAGACTGACTGGTTTACTGTCTCCTAGCAGATCCATGGAGCAATGTATGGACTAAAGAATCTATATAGCTTGGATTATCATAACATAAGGTCATCTAACTTATGGAAACAGGATAAAACACACACAAGCCCAGGAAAACCAAAAAAGGTCTCTAATGCATGTGAGTGAAACATGACCTTATTAAACTAGCTGAACATTAGGAACACCTAGGAATTCACAGTTGGTCACAATGTCCATCTGTCAAATATGTCCACATGCATCACAAACAGTTCCGTAGCCACCACTAATTAGTTTTCAACTCCAACGTGATTGAATTTCAAGCCCTAATGTTCTAAGGTTGTTCCAAAAACAGGGGGCACTGCTTCCATTAATGGGGGTAAGGCTTGCTGGGTGACTAGGTAAAGGATATTGGTATCTTACTGAACTTTCACGTAAGTAAATTTATTGAGTTTTAAATATAGTATTTACAGTTTTAATATGCATTAAATTTACTAACAATGCAACTTCCACGAGACGGATTTTTTCATTACTGATGCTAATGGTGCCTGTGTATCCGGGTAGCCAATACACCACTCCTTCTAATGTAGTTGCAAATAGGTATTTACAGACTCAGAAACATTACACACAGCAATAAAAAGAAATAAAAGCAGTTATTCATGAATTTTACTTCAGGGCTGTAAAAGGAATATTAGGAAATTCACCAAAACTACTTCTCTAGCCAGGACTTAAAAATAGTGCAAGATGGACAATACACACAAGGTAATGTCACCTCCTGGGAAACAGCTTAGGGACATATTTTGTGGGTACATAGCTATGTGGAAACCAACATGTTCACTAAAGATGTCATGCCAGACAACATAATACTTTTATTCTGTTGACACTAAGCAAGCCTATAAGAGAATATATCATGGCCAAAGTGTATGCAGATTTGAGAGAAATTTGACAGATCAAAATACAGTTTTTGCCAAGATAGAAAAGTACATTATGGATGCATTAAATTGATCTGGTTCCAACAACTTGTTAAATGACTACTCAGAAGTTCAAGGCACTGCCAAGAGGAAACTCAATTTTTAGTCCTCATTCTACTATTAACAGCTGTGTAACCTTGGAAAGCTGCCCCCCCCATTGGATATTCTTCACCCACAATAAAAGGGAAAAACTTAACTAGACACACAGCAGCTTATACTGCTGAGGTCTTACATTCCAGATATTGTGCCAAGTGCTTTAACTATATCATACTGATCCTCACCATCCTGAGGTAGGTGCTATTATTATTAACCTCCATTCTACAAATGAGAACTATGTGGCAGTCAGCTGCTTACAGTGGTAGAATTTGACTCCACAGGCCCTAGTCTTTATCATGTTGAGAATTCAAAAGGACCAGTTTGGAAATCTTTACATTTCAGCTTTAGAAGTAGATTACAGCATATGGTTTCTTCAATTTCTGGAGAGGATAACCACAATGAACAAACATCCCTACACCCTCACCTGCAGTACACAAAGTTATTCCATGTAATTAGACCAGGGGTCTGCTACATGTCCTCCTCTACCACTTTAAAAAAATATGAAAACCATTCTTTGTTCACAACCAGATAAAAATGCATGCATGGCTGCTAGAGATCTTACTGAAGAGGGGAAAAGGAGCAATTAAAATAAGATGATCAAAATGACTCAAGAAGCACCTTTTAACCTTTAGCTATTTAGTAATGAGGAGAGAATGGAGACATCACCAGTCCTGCCCATTACTTTTTGTAGTATATCCTGAGAACGGAAGAGGGACATTTCTGCCTTTACCACTTTCCCAAGGGTGGAAGGTTCTAGACAAGGCAGACTAGTTTATGAGCTCCTATCCACTAGAGGCAAGTCATTGAGGACAGAGAAGGTCATTCTTTGTCTAGCACCCAACATGCTGTAGGAACAAGGTAGGTGCTCAACTTTTAAATATTTATTGAGTGCCTACTACTCACTTAATATTAGTCAGTTTTTCAAATTAAAATGTAATTACTGACATTTTTTACTTTTCCTAAATCTGTTCATTCATATTATTCCATCTTACTGGTTCTTCCTCTAATCTACAACCCACTGGGCTCATCATCCAAAGGCCTCATTTACTTGTGCTGGCTAGCTGGGCACTCTGCTAAGAACCAGAAATAAAAATAAGACATGGCTTATCCTCAAAGATTCCAGTGACCATCACCATTCAATCCAATGCAGTAGCTAAATTACCAAATACGGTTTTCTGCGTGTTATAATATGTATATCATACTAATCATCACTATATCATAGTGATCAGAGAGGGAGGAAGGGAGAGGGGGCAAGGCGGTATATAGAACACAATGGTTAAGAGCTCCTTACTAGAACCACTAGAGCCAAGGCTGGGATCCTGGCCACCGCATTACTAACTACATGATTCTAGGCAAGATGCCTTATTTGTAGAGCCATAACAAAAAGCA